TTATACGAAATTCTTCCTGTTGTTCTTCAGGTAAATTTTGAGTTGTTTCTTCCATACTCGAAATAAAATCAAGTTTTGGAACGGTTTTTGGTGTAATTGAAAAATTTAAACCTTTAGAAAGAACGAGTTTTTCGATGAGATTTGACTATTTATCCTGCATCGGACCTTGTTTTCATTCTTCTCATAGCTACGCATTCACAATTTGCTTCCTCCAAACAACAGCAAACGTGATAATCACGTGAAAAGGCGCCATAAAAGTCACCAGTTTTGTCACGTCACATCGGCATGATTGTCACGGAAATCTGTCAAATTGATTTGAGGTCTTTAATCACCGCATTTCGCGAGTTCAAAATAGTAATTTGACACTTGTTTTGTTGACATTGGTGATACATCTGATTGTAATTTGTTTTGGTTTGTTCTACTCAACTTTTGCAAGCTTTTAAAGAAATAGAAACAGATCGACAAGTGTGTAGGTAGTTTTATGTTATAAATGTCATCAACTCCAATAAATAAACAAGTCTGACAAGTCTTAACTGTCACTCGACAACGAGTAATTTGACGTTGCGCGGCGCCACCATCGGTAGTTAGACTCGCGATTTCTGCAAGCGCTTTGTGTGAACAGGGTGATTCAAAATTGACGTCATTTGTCTGGGGATTTTTAAGGAGTACTGGAAATGGTATATATAGATTTTATGCTACTCAGACGGATAATTGCATATTTTAATATAATTAGATTTTGAATTTCCCACTAATTTTCTGACATTTGATAGCCTGACGTTCAGTTGTCAAACTGCCGCAGTTTAATTTATCGGTCTCCAGAAAACAGATAAATGTTCTATGAAAAACTTCTGGGAAAAGTGGAAAATTAGTGAGTCTTAAAGTTACAGTGATTTAGAAGCGGAAATGGATGGAATCTGCCTTGAACTAAGAGAGGTGGGCGAACTCAAAATAATGAAAAACTTAAAAGTCTTTCATTATTTACCTAGGGACTTTTTATTATTATTATTATTGACACAGGGAGTTGCAGTAAATAATGGTGAATTCTCACGTTAGTAGGTAGTAAAAAATATACAGTTGAGTCCGGATATAACGAACTTGAAAAATGAACTAAAACTGGTTCGTTATATCCGGAGTTCGCTATAAGCGAATAATAATACAAAAACACGTGGTGTATTTTATTTCGTTATTTTTACATAGAGTAGTAGAAGTTAGTAGGTAAAAGAAAAAAGAACACAAAAAGATAAACAAAATTCAATTTGAAATCTATTTCATAAAGTCTGTAATTTTTGTCTGTACATTTCTGCTGCAAAAATAGATGTTATTTATGTAGTTTTCAAGATCACAAAAGGACTCCCAGATATGATTAGGAACTTGGCGTGATTGTAGAAAATTCCCAGTTTCTGACACCTTTTTGTCATTTCAGAAATGGTTGGAACAGCATTAGTGTCTACAGTAGAATACGTTTCACCTAAATCGTCATATTTCTCATTATCGCTTAAAGCTGTAGATGAGGTTACGGAGTCTATAATTTGCTCATCGGTCAAC